AATAGATACTCTATCCCGGCTTAGTCCAACAGTAATTCCAGCCAAATCCCAGTTACATACCAGAAATCTCAGTATAAAACAATACAATTTTGACCTGTTACACATGTATCAAATATACAGTTGTTATAAGCTATTACTTTCATATATTGTATTGACGAAGTTAGAAGTAAAGGCTAATTGTATAAAATTTCATGTAATATAATTTTGCACTATCTTGTAAGTTGTATCTTAATTATGCAATTAATGTTTTCGATTTTGTTTGTTGAGGGAAAAAGTATTAAAAAAAAACACATTTCAAATCAATCATAACATCAACAAAATCACCCCCAATAAAAGAGAACACACAGCTACTGTGGAATGGATCTCTTTGCAGGCACAGCGCGTGTGTGTGTGGAGGGGAGGGGGGGGGGGAATTGTGTTTATTTTGGACAAAGGTGTGAATTGGTAGTTGATTTCCGATTTATTTCTTTATAGTTAACATTCTTAGTTTTTCATTTCTCGATGAAGGATATAAATCAAATGTAACATGCACTCATAGTGTTCGAGGCACCTGTAAAATTATGGATCTTCAGTGATAGGTCCCTCAGAACCTAGTGCTAAGCTCGTCACAGAGAATTTATGATTTCAACTGAAGCCTCTCAGTGCATAGTGCATTAACTTTTGTTCAAATTTAATTTTTTCCCTCTCCATATTTGATCATCATGGTGTTTTTGGCACTTAAGCTATCGTTGGATTTATGGATAAGGTTAACAGCGTTGGTGTATTATGAAGAGTTATCATATTTAGATTCTGAGTATTGGCAGCGAATGATATCATATTGAAAACTTGAACACTTTATCAGTATTGAACAGGGGAAAAGAAATGGGTACTAAAATAATCAAAACGAACATCTAAGATACCTACTAAATGTTCATTCGTGATGGAAACGAACGTAGGTATGTTAAAATGTGAAATCATTATTTATAGAGGAATGATAAATCAATTCTTTGACGTTGATTGATTCGTTGAATATTACACGAATATGACGTGTCGGTTACGAATGGCGGGCTTCGACATCTACTCAATCCATAAAAAATAAGAAATCTAGCTGTAATAAATACACAGACAAGAAAGTTTAAAAAAAAAGATAGATGCCAGAAAGATGACATTGACGAAGATTCAAATTTTGATTAAAAAATAATCAAACTGTGTTCGGAGGTCATATGTATTACAATTTTAGAAAGGTTTATCCACCAGCATGTTGTTGAACACTATTTTCAATTACAGTCGGTTATGAGCATATGGTCATGGCAGGTTTAGTCCTTGTAGAACCTCTACACACTCTTGCAAAGGCTGCAGCAGTAAAACTACAAACTATATTTCATAACGACCATGCCCCAACGGACATTACTTTCACATCTTAGGAACCTCCTAAGATACAAGAATTCGACATAGCAAAATACAAAGAAATCTTATAACCTTTGCTTTTGGCTAATCCCTTTTCGCTACCAATGTGCCCTCCCCGGCCCGGCCTCTCCGTGAGGTTAACCGAAAAACAAAGGTAGAGAGATAAACCCTACTGTTCCCAGAAGTCGCCCCAGTATTTCTTCCATGCATGATTCCGGTCTCATGTCGAGGTTTTCGGAATAAACAATAGATACTCTATCCCGGCTTAGTCCAACAGTAATTCCAGCCAAATCCCAGTTACATACCAGAAATCTCAGTATAAAACAATACAATTTTGACCTGTTACACATGTATCAAATATACAGTTGTTATAAGCTATTACTTTCATATATTGTATTGACGAAGTTAGAAGTAAAGGCTAATTGTATTAAATTTTATGTAATATAATTTTGCACTATCTTGTAAGTTGTATCTTAATTATGCAATTAATGTTTTCGATTTTGTTTGTTGAGGGAAAAAGTATTTAAAAAAAAACACATTTCAAATCAATCATAACATCAACAAAATCACCCCCAATAAAAGAAAACACACAGCTACTTTGGAATGGATAACTCTCTTTGCAGGCACAGCGCGTCTGTGTGTGTGGAGGGGAGGGGGGGGGATTGTGTTTATTTTGGACAAAGGTGTGAATTGATAGTTGATTTCCGATTTATTTCTTTATAGTTTACATTCTTAGTTTTTCATTTCTCGATGAAGGATATAAATCAAATGTAACATGCACTCATAGTGTTCGAGGCACCTGTAAAATTATGGATCTTCAGTGATAGGTCCCTCAGAACCTAGTGCTAAGCTCGTCACAGAGAATTTATGATTTCAACTGAAGCCTCTCAGTGCATAGTGCATTAATTTTTGTTCAAATTTCATTTTTTCCCTCTCCATATTTGATCATCATGGTGTTTTTGGCACTTGAGCTATCGTTGGATTGATGGATGCGGTTAACAGCGTTGGTGTAGAGTTATCATATTTAGATTCTGAGTATTGGCAGCGAATGATATCATAATGGAAAGGATGCAATTCACCGTGTACACAATAACTGTCAGTTATTAATATATTCTCTATTTTTCCATCTCTCTCTCTCTCTTTCTCGGACATAAAAAAAATATTTAAAAAATATGAATATAATATAGGGCTTTGATTAAGACAACTTGACCATTTTATCAGTATTGAACAGGGGAAAAGAAATGGGTACGAAAATAATCAAAACGAACATCTAAGATACCTACTAAATGTTCATTCGTGATGGAAACGAACGTAGGTATGTTAAAATGTGAAATAATTATTTATAGAGGGATGATAAATCAATTCTTTGACGTTGATTGATTCGTTGAATATTACACAAATATGGTGACGTGTCGGTTACGAACGGCGGGCTTCGACATCTACTGAATCCATCAAAAAATAAGAAATCTAGCTGTAATAAATACACAGACAAGAAAGTATAAAAAAAAGATAGATGCCAGAATGATGACAATGACGAGGATTCAAATTTTGATTAAAAAATAATCAAACTGTGTTCGGAGGTCATATGTATTACAATTTTAGAAAGGTTTATGAGCATATGGTCATGGCAGGTTTCGTCCTTGTAGAACCTCTACACACTCTTGCAAAGGCTGCAGCAGTAAAACTACAAACTATATTTCATAACGACCATGCCCCCACGGACATTCCTTTCACATCTTAGGAACCTCCTAAGATACATGAATTCGACATTGCAAAATACAAAGAAATCTTATAACCTTTGCTTTTTGCTAATCCCTTTTCGCTACCAACGTGCCCTCCCCGGCCCGGCCTCTCCGTGAGGTTAACAAAGGTAGAGAGATAAACCCTACTGTTCCTAGAAGTCGCCCCAGTATTTCTTCCATGCATGATTCCGGTCTCATGTCGAGGTTTTCGGAATAAACAATAAATACTCTATCCCGGCTAAGTCCAACAGTAATTCCAGCCAAATCCAAGTTACATACCAGAAATCTTAGTAGAAAACAATACAATTTTGACCTGTTACACATTATTAAATATACAGTTGTTATAAGCTATTACTTTCATATATTGTATTGACGAAGTTAGAAGTAAAGGCTAATTGTATTAAGTTTCATGTAATGTAATTTTGCACTATCTTGTAAGTTGTATCTTAATTATGCAATTAATGTTTTCGATTTTGTTTGTTGAGGGAAAAAGTATTTAAAAAAAACACATTTCAAATCAATCATAACATCAAAAAAATCACCCCCCCCCCCAATAAAAGAAAACACACAGCTACTGTGGAATGGATAACTCTCTTTGCAGGCACAGCGTGTGTGTGTGGAGGGGAGGGGGGGGGGGTGGGTGGGAGGGGAATTGTGTGTATTTTGGATAAAGGTGTGAATTGATAATTGATTTCCGATGTATTTCTTTATAGTGTACATTCTTAGTTTTTCATTTCTTGATGAAGGATATAAATTAAATGAACCATGCACTCAAAGTGTTCGAGGCACCTGTAAAATTATGGATCTTCAGTGACTGGTCCCTCAGAAACTAGTGCTAAGCCAGTCACAGAGAATTTATGATTTCAACTGAAGCCTCTCAGTGCATATTGAATTTTATTTTTGTTCAAATTTCTTTTTTTTTCTCTCCATATTTACTTTGATCAACATGGTGTTTTGGCACTTGAGCTATCGTTGGATCGATGGATGTACAACTGTTTGTGAAAGAAGAAATAAAATGAACTAAATGAACGGTGTTAACCGCATCCATCGATCCAACGATAGCTCAAGTGCCAAAACGCCATGTTGATCAAAGTAAATATGGACAGAAAAAGAAAAAAATTTGAATAACAAAAGAGAGAGAGAGAGAGATAGAGACAAGAAAAAGTACAAAAGAGCAAAAACAGAACAAAGCGAGTTTGCTTATAAATGAAGAAATGTTGGTAAGGAATGGTAAGGGCCAGTCTGGAAAAGAGGGGGGGGGGGGGTGGTGACAATAAAGCAAAAAAAATACTATATCATATGTGATGACATATCGTTGGTATAGTATTTGGATTCATCATATTTAGATTCTGAATACTGGCAGCAAATTATATGATATTGAAAAAGGTTGCAATTCATAGTTGTACACAATAATTGTCAGTTAATATATTCTCTCTTTCTCCCTCTCCCTCCCCCTCTCTCTCCTCCTCTCTTTCTCTCTCTCTCTCTCTCTCTCTCTCCCCCTCTCTCTCTCTTTCGCTCTCGTGCATAAAGAAAATATGAATATAATATTCGGCTTTGATTATTAAGGACAAATTGAACATTTTATCAGTATTAAACAGGGAGAAAGAAATGGGAGGGAAATGAATCAAAACGAACATTTAAGATACATGAACGTGGTGACTTGTCGGTTACCAACGGCAGGATTTGACATCTACTCAATCCATCAACAAATATGAAATCTAGCTGTAGTACATACACAGACAAGAAGGTCTTAAAAAAGAGAGATGCCAGAATGATGACATTGACGATGATTCAAATTTTGAATAAAAAATAATCAATCTGTGTTCCGAGGTCATATTTAATAACATTTTAGAAAGTTTTATCCACCAGCATGTTGTTGAGCACTATTTTCAATTTAATTTGAATGCGGTGACTTGTCGGTTACGAGCAGAAGGTCATTGCAGGCTTCGATTTTCTATAATACTAGAAGCTATCTAGACAGTACTTCAACAGAAAGCTGGATAGAGACACTTCGTCACATCAAGCTACGAGAAAGCATATCATATCATCATCTCACCGAATTCTACTCGAATACCGCATCGAAATCAGGTAGGCTCAAAGGCAGGCCCTTACGTTCTTCCTGTTGCACATGAGATGTCTTTCTGACTGCGTCAGTTTGTAATTGTATTGAGAATGATATCGATTATTTTGTAGCGCTAAAACAAAGAATACCTTAGATGCTGCTTATAAGTATCGGCTTGCATGGTGATGTAGATATACAGTAGGCTTACACACACACTCAAGAAAGAAAGATTACCGACAGTCTTTTTCAGACTCCTCAGTCTTCCCCCTCTCACAAGGTGCAACCGTATAGTAAGCCTACTCTATACAAAATAACAGAATGTTCTACGTTTTCGAAGCCGCCACTGTATAACGTTTCTTGGTAGTTGAGAGTCTGGATTTGGGAATAATTAATGTAAATTCAGTTGTTGAGCGTAGGTCTGCATTTCTTCAGACATTTCTTCGCTTCTTGTGCAGCGGGCTTTTAGTGTACATTAATCAGGAGCTATGCTTCGGCAACTCTGAGGGGTGCGATGGCCCAGTGATCTCGTAATCGGGAGGTCCCGAGTTCGTATCACTAAAGAGCGCTACTGTCCTTTAAGGGGGTATCTCACTGAGCTGCGAATGCTTACAAACGTTGCGAATTTTTGGCAGTTGGCGACTATTAGCGACTATAAGAAAATGTTAGCAATAGTATTAGCGAAGTTTAGCAACTATTTGCCAATCCTTTGCCACTATTTGTGAATGTTTGGGACCTTTTACGAACCCTGGCGAAACCCCAAATTCGTTACATTCGTCGCAAGCATTTGCCGCTCAGATAAAGCCTCAGTCATACCATGGACCTATTACGGATGGACATTCAACGTGATTCTTTCTTTCATCCAATGATAGTCGCCGCCTTCTGATGATGTGCATCTTAATGAGAACATTCAGCTGTTTTAACAATAACGACTGCGTTTTAAGTATTTTCGTTCATTGGCAAAGGAGCAGTTTCCCTCTCTTGTATTTTGTTTGGATGGTGTGCTGTGTAAGAGTGTGTCTTAAATAAAAGCATCCTCAATGGGGAGCAGCAAAGTTGAAAAGCAGACGATTTTGGTGATATGAAATGTATTATTACTGATTTGCAAACTTTCGCACACACCTATGACCTTATAAAACAATTAGAAGGCCATGCTCTGTATCAGCCCTGTGTGTTGTAACTCTGGAATATTATGGGGAAATAGGGGGAAACGGGATTTTAAATCACAACCCAAAAATCCAAAAATAACCTCTATCTGGTAATATTAACATGTTTTTCTAAATAAAATGCATGTACAGTACACGGAACAACAATTTCCGATTATAAGCCAGGACTGCACATCTATTTTTCATGATTTAGGCGAGTTATTATCTTCTGCGCATGTAGATTAACATGTATAAAATCACTATCTTGATTCTGTCCCGGCTTTTTGGCGGTGACCATCATGAGATCAAAGTGAAGAAATATGTACGGAATGTTATTGAGACGAAATTGACGGAGACAATCACAATGAATTCGTTAAGAAAACGATAAATGTCCATCCGTAATAGGTCCATGGTCATACCTTTGAGTATTTGGCTTGCGTATTGCTGCGTATAAATGGCAAGCCGTTTTAACAGTTATTCCTATTTCTTGATATAGGAATAACTGTTAAAACGGCTTGCCATAATTACGCAGCAAAAGGGCCAGTCAAGGGTGTCGATTTGTATCCGTGGTTGGGAGGGGGGGGGGGGGGCAATGAGAGGTGCCAAAATATTTTCGGCAATGGATCAAAGCAAGCCAAAACGAAAAGAATTTGTAGTTGAAGTGCCACCCTGTAAGGTCGACTGTGCTGTGAGGGAGGGTAGTGACCGAGCCGAAAATGGGTGGGGTCCAGGGGCGAAGCCCTAACAGGGGTAGCAGGGGGCTGAGCCCCCTGAAGCTGGTAGATTTAGGGCTTTCTAAAGGCCCAAATGGGGCATTTTTAGCACCATTTCATTCCACAATATAATCAATTATAATTTCATATTGATGTGAAAAAAATTAGTAAAATTCCGGAGTACAATTACACTGGAGGTATATTTATATGTATTTTTTTTGTGTGCAATAAACACGGGAAATGTCAAAATAAAGTGAAATTAAACAAACAAAAACTAGATGTTTCCAGATTTTGGCAATGTTGAAATATCTCATCGTAAGCTAATTGTTGTTCAGACCTTTTAGATTCGTAAAAAATGGTAAAAAACGACAAGTTCCCCCTTTTTTCCTGTTTGTTAATAAAACAGGCATTTAGGGCTCGAATTCGACTGCAACTTCTTGATTTAGCTTAGTATTTAATTCTAAAATATGTATTTTTTTTCTTCTGTTTTTGTTTTGTTGTTGCAACAGTCGCGCGCCACTCCGACTGACCGCAAGCGCCACAAGTGGCGCGCGCGCCGCCAGTTGAGAAGGCCTGCTCTAAAATATAAGCCTAATATTCCTCTAAGGCCCTGACTAGAGCACTATTTTTTTCTTTAAAAACTATAACCAGTCTTAGAAGCTGCATTATTTTTGGAAGGGTGTTATAAACAAAATTTCAAACTTAATAACATTCTAACCTCCAAAAACACCTTAACTATCTTATGCCTTTTACGTTTGACTACAATACATAGGCTTACATCAGCTTTTCAATGAAACAAAAATAAGTTGTGACATAATAATCTTTCTCCAAAATATCGAACTGGTAATATAATGTTGTATTGCTTGTTTATGTACATACAAATAGCTTATTTTCAAGAGGCACTAGATCCATGTGTGTAACTCAGGGGCGGCCGAGCGACTTTCAACGTGGGGGGGGGGGGCACCAAGAAAAAAGGGCACCTACAAAGGGAAATCTCAAAGCGAAAATATACAATTTGTTAGTACAAAGTACAAAGAGTAATTATCAGAGGTAAAAATGGGGCATTTCTTACACCCTCAAAAAGAGGCACTCACCAGGGATCATGGAAAAGGTAAGTCATGAGAATAGGAAATTTGGCATTTGTCGACGGAAAAGGGGCATTTATAAGATATTATTATATATTTGTTAAAAAGGAAATTATCAGAGTTGAAAAGAGGCAATTATCGCATTTGAAAAGAGGCAATGACCAGATATGAAAAGGGGCACTTATGTGAATGAAAAAGGGGCACTTGTAATAAAGGAAAATGTGCATTAGTTAAAAAAATTGTGCACCGATCAGATTTTAAAGGGGCATTTATCGGAGGTGAAAGGGGCATCTATCTGAAGTGAATAGGAGTAACTTCTCGTACCTGAAAAGGGTCAATTACCAGAGAGGGGGCACTTATGAGAAGGGGAAGGTGCTCTTTTTTAATGGGGAACTTATCATTAGGAAAAGAGACAATTATCAGAGGTGAAGGGGGCACTTATCAAAAGTGAAAAGAGGCATTTCTCGTACCTAACTAGGGGCACTTACTAGAGATTAAAAAGGGCACTTATGAGAATGGAAAATGGAAACTTATTGCAAATGAAAATGGGAACTTGTCGAAGGAAAAGGGGCACGTGTCCAAATAAAAGGGGCGCTTATCAGAGTTGAAAGGGGGAAGGGGCACTTTTACAAATTAATAGGGACACTTTTCAAAGTAAAAGGGGCACTATTCCTATGTGAAAAGGGGCACTTCTTAAAAAGTTAAAGGGGCTCTTTTCCTATGTAAAAAGGGGCACTTTTCAGGTGCTTTAATTTTTTTTTTTTTTTTTTTTTTTTTGGGGGGGGGGGGATTGTGCCCCCCTTGCCCCCGGGAGGGCCGCCTCTGATGTAACGTAAGAAAGAACTCTTTGTTTACCCGATTTTGTTCAAGTGTCTATGGAAAATTGTTATTAAAAGATGCATGTGTTCATAATTTCTCTCGTAATTTAGGTTAATAATTTTGTTCAAGGTAAATAGAGGAAATTGTATATCATTATTTCCATTTGATATCAAAAGATTTTGCTCCTTTCGGAAAATAGCTCTTCAAATGTGTTACATGCAGAGATATAAATAAACAAAGAAATGGATGAAATCAATAAAACGAAATAGATACTGAGTATGAATCAGGGAACAAACTGAAAGTTTCGTCTTTCTCTTCAATGATACAATATTTTATTACTTTACTTGCATTATGAAAAAGCGCATCATCAACCCCACATAGCTTTTAAAATCACTTCAGATTGAACTGGCCAAAAGTCATGTGATATTCTTGCTCAGATGCCTTCCTTTACCTTTAAGAGTTCTTTATATTGATGAATTGGTTGATAATTTTTTTTCTTGGCAATAATGCCCAAATTTAAAGAGTTAAACATATACACGACTGTAACTTTTAGCGCGTTTTGAAAAATGTTTTAGGAAATATCAGGAAATAAAATGAGTGAAAAAACAAACAAATAAAGATACAATAACGTGAATTTTAAAAAGTGTGAAAGGAAATAACATAACAACTAGTGAACTATCTCATAAGTCATACTAATGTCCGAAAATCTTTCTCCTTGTCTCCGATCTCATCACGAATTCGTCACAGAGCCCATATTGGCTCTCACCATTAATTTTTCTCTTTTTTTTTTTTTTTTTTTTTTTGGGGGGGGGGGATGGTGAATTATTGGGGGATGATTGTACAGGCCACCCCCCTGAACAATTTGAGGGGATATATCCCCCCCCCCCCCGCGATCGACACCCATGGGCCCAGTGATCTCGTAATCGGGAGGTCCCGAGTTCGTATCACTAAAGAGCGCTAGTCTCCTCACTGAGCGGCGAATGCTTGCGAACGTTGCGAATTTGGATTCGCCAACTTTTCTGACAAATGTTGGCGAAAATCAGGGTTCGCCTTTTTGGATGTCCAAAATTTCTTTGCGACAAAAAAAAACTATTTGCGAACTTTCTTGCAACCTTTTACAAACCTTTGCAACCTTTTACGAACCCTGGCGAAACCCCAAATTCGCTACGTTCGCAAGCATTCGTCGCTCAGTGAGATAGGGCCTTTACTCACACTGACTTACATGTGTAAGGTAATTCATTTAATTCAATTTCTTAATATTGTCCTTGCCATGATAGCAATTTAAAAACATTACAATCTCCTGCTTCTTTGCTGTGAGAATGAAACTATGCACTGTACATGCACACATTTTACTTGCGAGTGGTAAACAGTACGAAATAAAGATATTTTGAAACAATATTGAATATTACTCAGGACTTGATTTTGAAAAAAGGGAAAAATTACAATTTCTACTGTTCTGCTTTGCTTCATATGGTGGATAGGTCACGTGACGTATAAGATGGCGCCAATCACACGGAGAGTGTATGCTACATACTTGATGTTGGCCATGCTGTGTGTACAAGCTACATGCCAGGGTGCATCAGGAGATGCCAACGATGTCGAGGTAAAATACGCAATAAGATTATAGTGCTTTACAGTACGTAACAAAAAAGGTTCAAACTTTAAAAATATCCTCCAAAATTATCATTTAAGGATATCTGCATGATTTTTAATTACAAAATAATGGATGACGGTCGATTCAATAGGATGGCACTAAAAGTATTGACAATGTTTTACGCTTGAGTGAGCATTCGCTTATTTACTCGCAATTGTGTAATAGAAATCATGCAGATATAGTGAAAGTATCATTTTAGAGCATATTTTCAAAGTGTGGACTTTTTTTATACGCATTGTAACCATGTACTGGAATCGTTTGAAATGGAAATCCACGCGAAAAATTGTGATTCAAAAGAGTAATTCGATCACTTCTTTAGAGTTGATTCAGCTCCAAAGAAAGTGATCCCTAATATGACACCTTTGGAAAAGGATTTCCACTCCTCTCCATTAATATAATAGTTTTGTTTTAAAATACGTGTAATATAAGCCTTCTAATATAGATAAGAACTTATGGAAATGAATGGTGATAAATGATTTATATACCCGCGTTATATATTGCAACTGGACTTTTTGTTATTAGTCTATTCACCCCTCACTCATCCATTAATTCCTTATTTCATGTATTCATTGTTTAAATAGCCCTTGTATCGTTACAGTCTAAGTTTCGTCAAACGTGTCTTGATAAGATCATCGCCTCCTCACTGATATGTAAAAATAAGTAATCATATTTAACAAGTAGAACTGCAACATTCTCAAGTTTTTATTTTGTATCCAGGATTTTTTTCTTCTGTCATAATCTTCCTTTATCTGTTCGGTACCTGTTGCCCATGAAAGAAATTGTTATTCTCATATGACTGCTAATATACAGCAGAGAATAAGACGAGATCAACATCACTACATAGGGCAAGAATGCAATTTTGAAACGTTATCAATTCGTGTCAGTGTTGTTCCTAACTTTCTGTAATAAACTCACTTTTTATATTCCTTGATTACGCATGAAGTCTAATATCTTGCTTAAAAACAAATTTAATTGTTGCTCATTGATTGTTATATCAATGTTTCACTACTTTGTATTCACAGTCCTGTACATCACAAGGAGGATATTGTCAGGGGGACGACATGTGTTGTGATGTATCGTATGTCTGTATTTTGATGGAGGAGTGTCAATGACAATGGAGCTTTGTGCCTGGTTCGTCGTTCAAGATGTACTTGTGGCACGATGGGTTATATATAAGTTATTTGGAGACAGCATGCTGAGGCCTTTATCCTGCAGTGGATCGATAATGGCTGAAAAAGAAAGAAAGGTTATCCGGCGAGATTCCTGCAATAAATTAATGACAGATCATGATGATTAAAAGTGCTCAAAGCTAGCCTTATATCAATTGATATTTAGATATGTTGATGTTGATATAATTATTAGGCCTATACTGCAGCTCCCCCATACGTATACTACTGTAATTATGGACATAAATTTTGGTGATTGGTGAGATATTCATTTTTAGATGAGATAATTTGAACGTTATATCTGTTAGTTTGCCGATGCCCCACCTTGTCAACCACATCACATGATACAGGGTCTGAGCTATACTGAACTTACATCAAACTTTCATAGACAATGTAATATTTACAATACTTATTTATAATCTATTATTTAGAAATTCATATGTCCATCATTGTCCATACGAATAAGGAATATTGTTTCATGCATTTAAATAGATCTATTATTGCCTCCATCCCTCCATCACATCGATTCAATATTAAAATTTGAACTTATTCATTAGGAATTCAATATTCCTTGCATGCTAGAAGAAAGATGATAATACTTTCACCCCCTCCCCCCTCATCATCATCATCATCATCAAGTGCCGGGTGTGTTTAGGACATCGGCTGTCATGGCCCACCATTTCTGCTTATTTTCTGGTATTCTTAAAGAGCTGGTATTGCTAATTACATTTTTGGTTGCCCATTTAAGGGTTAAGGCTTCTTAATATGTTTTCTTCTAGATAATCCTATCTGTATATATCACAAATTGCATTTGCATCTTTCTCATTGTGTTGATGAGTGATGGTTTTACTCTTGCTTTCATCTTATTAAATATATCCTTGCCGTTGCAATTCTTTTCTTTATCTCATGAATACTTTTCACATCTGTTTTCTTCGTTTAAAGGAAACAAATTAATAAAATGAGAAGGAAATAAATTTGTTTAAATGTTGAATCTTCTTTTAGCGTCGTACGTGCCAATAATAATATTATGCTCATATATTCGAGGAGTAATGTTAAACAATCTATTTTGAATGACGACATAATATTGATAGCAGTCATTCTATTTAAAGGCGGGAATACATGTACCTTTTTTTTGGATGTGATATCATCAATAAAATGGGACCAGTATGATGAACAAGATATTGTTTGGTATCCAGTGAAGACGAGGTGTGAGTATAGTTCAGTATATACCTCACTTAAGAAATCTAGCCATCTGATTGGTCGAAATTGCAGTCGTGCGGATTTTAGCCATTCCCGTAAAGAAACGAAAAATGCCCAAAACAATTAATAGTCCAAGAGTAAAATCGCGGCAACATTCCGTGATGTTTTAACCAATCTTTACTCGATAAGGCCATTAAAGAAAAAAATAATATGTTTAGCGTCCCCGCCTGCTTTCTTTTTGGGGGCCGCCTCCTTTTTTTTTTTGCAATTTTTTTGTTGATTTTTCTTTAAAGATGAAAAACATGAAAAACACTGCTAAAATGGATTTATTTCTTATTTTTTTTAAAAATTAAAAAAATGTCGGCGGCCATTTGAAAAATAGCCCAACTGTCAGGGTTAATGTACCGAGCGGCCATTTTGAAAGAAAAAAAAAAGGGGGAAAAAGGGCTTCCTCCTTCCTATTTTTCAAAAAAGCAGGATGCTAAACATGTTTTTTTTTTTTGCCTAAAAGGATAAGGTAAGAATGATTGGTAGATTTTTGTTTGAATTCGGCATATAAAAGGGATATCGACTGCTTTAATACTCGAGGACTGGCTGTTTCTATACTGGCTCTCGGGAAATTTGCCTCCGGTGCTATCACCCCGAGGCGCGCCTGGGTGGGTGGCGTATAAAAAAAGCCAGTCCTCTCGTGGTAGTCGATATCTCTATATTAGTACTATACATTTCAATTCATGGGCAAGGTGTTTGTTATAGAACATTATGTAATATTCCAAGGTAGACGTGAGCCAGCATGGCAATTTGATCAATACCTTTAATTTATCAATCTATATACATTATTTTTTCATTTTTTGTTAGTTTATCAATGAACTTGTAACCATTCTGTACCAAAATAACAATATTTACCGTAATACGCAATTTATCTCGATTGAATTATACACTATTCATTTATGTATCATGTATGAGGATCTCCTAGCTTCCTCACCGTAATATTACAATCTTCTTCTTTTACCCTGTTCTGTACTATACCACTTCTGTTTTCCTCTCCTTTTCTCCTTTTCTCCTTTTCACATCTTCCTTTTCCCTTTCCCTCTATCCCGGTGCTCCTTGTTATCACATATATTATTACACTGTAACTTGTATTGTTATTGTTAATGTACTTTGCTATTGTATGTATTGTTCATTATAACCTGCCGCCTAACCCACTGGGTTGACGGGCCTGGTTTTTGTGTACATGATCTCTAATAAAGACTTGATTTACCACTTATTCCTGGCAAAATTTAAAGATACGGAGTTTCTTTCGATTATTTTTCTTGAGATAACTATTACACTCATCTTTGTACAGGGTGTCTAAAACACAAATGGTACTAGTGATGGTGGTGATTGTTGTCGGTGTGGTGGTGGTGGTGGTGGTGACGACGGTGGCGATATTGGTGGTGATCAGGCGCGTACGCAGGGGAGGGGGTTTTTGGGGTTGAACCCCCCTCCCATTTGGTATTTTTATGGTGTGTAAACCCCCTAAAACCCTCCTAAACCCCCCTAACTAAAAAATATGCCCATGGCTGACCTAAAAAAGGTGACCTTACCCCCCCCCCCCCCACCAGAGAAAAATGTCAAATTTTCAAATTTCGAGACCAATTTAAAAAAAAAATGTCCTCTTACCCCCCCCCCCCTCCTTCTCCCTTCTTGTACTTTTGTATTAATCGTTCTTTGACAATGTCAGCTCCTTCCCTCCCTCATGGAGTTCGTCTGATTCCCCTGTTCGTCCACCCCTCCTTCTTCTTCTTCTTCTCCTACTTCTTCTTCTTCTTCTTCTTCTTCTTCTTCTTCTTCTTCACCATCTTGCTCTTCCTTCTCAGTCCGTTCCTCACTGACCTAGAGCACATATTTTTGGGTTTTTTTTTGTCCCGGAAATTGGAAAATTATGCCAACCCATTTTTCGTTCGTAGGGGGGGGGGGGGGGGGGGTCACTTCTTGTTGTCACCCTTTAGCACACACACACACATAAGAAAGGGGGGTTACCCCCCCCCCCCCCCTCCTCGCGTACGCACCTGATATTGAATTTGAATTGCATTGAATTTCTTTATTGTCATGCACAAAATAAAATGAAGGCATAACAATCGTTTTACAGCTCACATTTGTATAAATATAACAATACATTAACATATCATAGACAGTAAGTACAAATAACATAAATAACATAACAATGTAATATAATTTAACCTCTCTGTTGAGAGCCAGGGGAATTTTTTGATTATTTGTACTCCCCTGGCTCCCAACAGACAATATTAACTTAAATAAATAGCAGAAAATGTACATGACAACAATCAATGTCATATAACATATAAATATAACAAGTCACAGCAAAGATCTAAAAATCAATTATGCATCAATTGTTAAAAATTTCAGATAAAAACTGTTTATTTTGGGTAGCAGACATAAACTAAAAGTACATCATACTGGATGGCAAAGAGGAAAGACAAGAGAGAGAACGAGAGAGAGAGAAAGGGAGAGAGAAAGGGAGAAAGGGAAAGGAAAGAGAGAGAGAGAGAGAGAGAGAGTAGAAGAGAGGAACAGTTCAGTGTGAGATGATGCATATACAGTTTCATTCAAAACATTGCTTTGTAATAGACATTATTTATATTGCACCTGTGCTTAGTACTGTTACATTTATGAAACACTGCTATGCATGCCAAGAAATACAAATACAACTGTATGCTAGTACATGTGCAGTACATATAGATGGTGGATACACTGTACAGTTGAAAGAAGAAAATTGATGCCAGATAGAAGAGGCTAGAAGAGAGACAAGAAGGAAAGAAGAAGAAGAAAGAAAAGTGGAGAAAAGGAAAGAGAGGGAAGAAAGGAAAAGGAGGAAAAGTGAAGTGTGAGATATTGAAAATATTGTTGAAATAAATTGAACTGAATTGATGAGTCCACATGTCACTTACACACTACCAACCACCCAACCATAACAGCAGGGAAGACCCCCTCCCCCTTGACCTTATACAAGCTGACCCATCTTCACCCTCTGTACTTCCAGGATATGAAGAGAGAGAGAGAGAGAGAGACAGACAGAAAGAGAGAGAGAGAGAGAGAGAGAGAGAGAGAGAGATATATGTAGGATAGAGAGAGAGAGAGAGAGAGAGAGAGAGAGAGATATATGTAGGATAGAGAGAGAGAGAGAGAGAGAGAGAGAGAGAGAGAGAAGAAGACAGAGGAGAGAGAGAGAGAGAGAGAGATAGAATAAGAGGGTAGGGATCGTACTTGGGGTGTACAGGGTCATTCATCTACAGAAATTGTTGTTAAACACTTTCATTGCACTTGGGAGAAAGGACCTGCCGAACCTATCAGTTCTTATTCTTGGTAACCTGATTCTTCCTGATCTATTGAAAACCACTTCATTATGCAGAGGGTGATTAGAATCCTTCACAATCACTTGCAGCTTAGCCAATAATGCCCTTTCTGCAACATCTTCCAGCTCTTTCGCAGAGACCCCAATTACTCTGCTGGCATGTTTCACTATCTTATTCAACTTTGCTCTGTTTTTCCCACTAAGGCTGTTAAACCACCCTTACAAAATGTCCGCTTACCCCCCCCCCCCCCCCCCCCCCCCCCCCCCCACTGAGCGACTTTTCGGCCGGCGCGATTTTCAAATTTTCGGGAGCAAAAAAAAAAAGTTGGGCCCCTTCCCCTAAGAAATCCTGGATCCGCGCCTGGATAGTTGCATGATGAGCTTCAGTGAAACGTGGTTTTCTCCAAGGGATTCTGAAAGTAGCACTGCAATAGAGGGTTTTACTTGTGTTAGAAACGACCGTACATCAGCTAGACTCTGGAAAGTCTACGGGAGGAGGAGTGTGTGCTTATGTGAATGAGAGGTGGTGCAATGCTAGTAATATCTCAGTCAAAGCTCATCACTGTTCACAAGATATTGAATTGCTCTGTATTGGTATACGACCACATTACTTACCAATGGAATTCACTCAATTATATGCAGGGGCGTCGCTAGACCTTTTTCAGTGGGGGGGGGGGGGATGTAGAGGCCAACGATTACCGACAAAACTAGCTAGCTGGATTATCTATAGTACTTGCGTATGCGCAAATGGTCATTTTCCTCGACGACATAAATATACGAATTATTTCGTCAATTTAGTCAGCATCATAGCTATATATTTTAATGCAGGCGCGGAGCTAGGATCTTATTTTAGGGAGGGGCGCTGGTGAGTAAGCTAATCAATTTTGCGCGCTCATTAGGGGGTGTGGGTGATAGGCCTCCCGGGCGACCCGCTGAAGCTTAGACGTTCCCTTAAATTATTAGGAAAAGAAGACGATTTATTGTACCGTTCTCGACTGTTAATCCTTGTCTGAATTCAGTTTCTCCCCCTCCCGCGCAAAGCGCAGAAGCTTTGACGTTTCATTAAATTATGAGAAAAAGCAGACGATTCGGCGTACCGTTTTCGACTCTTTATAAGCCCTATTTATCTGAATTCAGTTTCTCCCTCTCGCGCGAAGCGCGGAAGCTTGGACGTTTCCATAAATTAGTAGAGGAAGCAGTTGATTCGTTGTACCGTTTTCGACTGTTAATCCTTGTCTGAATGATGTTTCTCCCCCTCGCGCGAAGCGCGGAAGCTTTGACGTTTCCTTAAATTATTAGAGAAAGAAGACGATTCGTTGAACCGTTTTCGACTGTTAATCCTTGTCTGAATGATGATTCTCCCCCTCGCGCGAAGCGCGGAAGCTTTGACGTTTCCATAAATTATTAGAGGAAGCAGACGATTCGGTGTACCGTTTTCGACTCTTAATAAGCCCTAATTGTCTGAATTCGGTTTCCCCCTCCCGCGCAAAGCGCGAAAGCTTTGACGTTTCATTAAATTATTAGAGAAAGTAAACGATTCGTTGAACCGTGCTCGTCTCTTAATCCTTATCTGAATGAAGTTTCTCCCTCCCGCGCGAGGCGCGAAAGTTTTGACGTTTCATTAAATTATTAGAGAAAGAAGACGATTCGTTGTACCGTTTTCGACTCTTTATAAGCCTTAATTATCTCAATTCAGTTTCCCCCTTTCGCGCGAAGCGCGGAAGCTTTGACGTTTCATTAAATGATTAGAGAAAGAAGACAATTCGTTGCACCGTTTTCGACTCTTAATAAGCCCTATTTATCTGAATTCAGTTCTCCCCCTCTCGTGCGAAGCGCGGAAGCTTTGAGGTTTCCTTAAATTATTAGAGAAA